TCACGCGGGGGGAGGGAGGGGGGTGGCTAAACCTCCCCAGCAGGGAAAGACAGGAGGTTGGAAAAGGGAAACGCCTTAGACCACCTGCGCCCAGAGGGCTGGTGGGATTGCTTCTATCACCGCTGCGCGTGCTTTCGCGCGGTAGCAACGAGCCTTCCAAGTGTTCAACGGTGCATGCGCCTGCGCCTGCAGTATTGCGCCTTGCCTGTTCAAGTCGTGCCATGACGCGCAGCTCGGCGCCGCTGATTACGCGCAGCGGGGTTGCAGTTATTTCGCGCGCGCGATGGGGGCGACGGGGCAGGGATGCATCGGACGTTGGTGGGTATCTATATCGTGGCATTGCGCGTCGGAAGGCACGTTGCAATTTCGCCATATGGCGCAGCCTCGGGCGGTGCCGATCGCGTCGCCGATCTACGTCGGCATCGGCAACCCGACGCTTTTGGAGTTGGCCAAAAGCTACTCCGTGGTTCCGAAGCACCAGGTCCAGGGGCTGACCTGGCCGCTGGCGGCACGGCCGCGCATCGTGGCAGAGTGGGGTCGGGGAGTTCTTGAGGGGTAGGGCGCGCTGTTGGCGAATCCCACAAGCCCTCTGGGCGCAGGTGGTCTAGGGCGTTTCCCTTTCCAACCTCCTGCCTTTCCTTGCTCGGGGGGTTTACCTCGCACCCCCCTCCCTGCGTTTGGACGGGGGAGGAAGGGGGGGGGGGGGGGGGGGCATGGCGGGGTCAGAGATGGCCCAATGTGGCTCTAAGAGGGCACCCGAGAGCGCAAGATGGCCCCCAAGATGGCCCAAGATAGCGGTAGACGGGTCAATATAGCATCCGACACGCGCCCAAGAGGCTTCAAGTTCGCCCCAAGACGGTTTCAAGTGCCTTCCGACGCCTCCAAGGGCCCCCCCCGCCCCACAGAGGCAAACATCCTTCAACCACCTAAGGCAAATCACTGTTTTTGTATGCCTTCTTGCTTTTTTCGCTTCCAAAGGCCCCTTGAGGCTTCAAGATTGCCCCAAGATGGCCCAATGCCCAAGAGAGCCGCCAGACGGCCCCAAGAGCGCCCAAGAGCGCCCCAAGAGCTGGCCAAGGGGGCACCAAGACGGCACTGCTGAGCATCCGAGGGGGGGAGGGGGGGGGATTGCCCCCCACCCGTTCTTTAGCCATAAGGGCTAATACGGCCCCGAGAGGCTTTCCATAACCCCCCACCCGCAAAAAAATAGCCCCAAGAGGGCTCCAAGACTTTCCAAAAGGGCACCGAGAGGGCACCGCTACGCTCCAAACGAGCCAAGAAGCCCCAAGACTGCCCTGAGAGGACCCCATGATGGCCCCAAGAAAGAGCCCCAGGATGCCCCAAGAGGTGCCCAAGCGAACCCCAAGAGGGCCCCAAGATGCCTCCAAGGTGCGGAACGCACGCGAGTTCAATTGACAAATCAGTGCGACAGCCATTACGAGTCATCGAACTACCCGTCACCTCTCACCGAAGCACCATCGTAATTTGCATTGGTTTTCATCTTGAGCTTCAATGCGGAAGCTATGTGTGATGCCTGTGTTCTCGAATACGGCTGCGGCAGTGCATGCGTTCTGCCGCCCCTGATTCACCAACGCCCCTGCCGACCGTTTCTGGATGGGCTTGTGGGGGTGCGCGAAGCGCCAAGAATTGCAAGTCCGCGCGTCGGCGATCGGCAGCGCGTCAAAGGCTGCATTGTTCGCGGAATTACCGCCATGCAGACGGCCTGGGGCATGGGGGCCGCCAGCTGGGGAGCCACCTGCTGGTGGTGCTCAGCGGGCGCGTGGCCCCCATTGGCTTCAGGTACATGTTTGGGATTGGAGCTCGCATGGCTCGGCGTGGCTGCGCTTTTCTGGGGCCAACGCATGTGTGGCGCGTCGGGCGCGGCGTTGCTTCGTCTACGACGTGGACAGGCTTGTCGTGCCGCGCGGAGCGCTTTACCGCGGGCACGGCGCGCTCATATGGAGGCGTTCGCAAGTCTGCCCCTGGCGCTCGACGCGGCGTCCAGCGCAAGAGGGGCCTTTACGCCACAATGCATTCCCGTTGCGCAGCGGGCCTGCGGATCCGATCATGCGCGGTCGCGCCCTTGCTGCAGGAGTTCGGCATGCCTCAGTGGGCGCGGGGCATCGCCCGCTTGAAGGCAATGTTGCTGGGCGTGCGAAACAGCGCCGAGGCGGCCACCATGGCGAATCCGTTGCGTCGGCTGGTTGCCGACCAGGTGGGCACGCTGGCATCGCGGCGCGGTCGGTTGGGAAATGGCGCGCGGAGAGCACAGGTGCGTGGCGGCAGCGGGGGGGAGGGGTGGGCGGGTGCAAGACGGGCGGGTATGACGGGCGGTCGCGGCTTCCTGGGTCGGCAAGCGAGGTGGCGAGAGGGGGGATATGATGGGTGCAGGCGGTGAGAAGAATCGGGCGCGGCGCAGGGTGTGAGGAGTGACGCGGTGGGAAGGGGGAAGTGGGGTGGAGCGGGGGGTGGGCGCGCGCAGGGGGAGGCGGATGGGGGGGCGGGGTGGGGGGATGAGACGGGCGCAGCGCAGGGTGGGAGAGGGGGATGGGGGCCCGCGTGGCCGTGGGCGTCAATGACAGAGTAATTGGGTTGCGCCTAACATTTCGTTGGTTCGTCGGGAAAAGGCGCCGATGGGAACGCCTCCGTGGCGCCAGCCGCGTCGAGCGGTTGCGGGTGCGTGCGCGGCCATCGCTGCCCGACTGCCTCTGGCGATTTGTTCGGGCCCCGTGGCGCGGCGAGGCGCATTCGGCGCGCCCCTGTCCACGCTCGTGAAGGAGAATGAGCAGCAGGGCGTGGCCGTGCGCAGGGCGACTGCTTGCTGGCGTGGCCCTGCGCAGGATCAGGTCGGCGCCGCTTCGTCAGAGTCGCGCGGGACAGCACGTCGCCGCGGGCAGAGGATCATCTGCGCGTCGGCGGGGAGTTCAGGCTTCTTTTCTGAAGGCATTGCGAAGGCCGACCCGCGGCACACGCTGCCCACGTCACGCATGCGACGGGGGCGCTTGCGCTTACTACTTCCCCGACGGCGTCAAGCGGGGCGTGATCAGTCGCATGGGCGTCGGCGACCTCAGCGGGATCTGGGGCTAGAACGCGTTCGGCGTCCAGCATCACTGCGGCGCCGCAGTGGATTGGCTGGTTTCACGCAGCCCCGCGCCGCCACTCCATTCGGCGTTTTGCGTGGGGCCTTTTCAAGATCTATAACGCCCATGCGCCGTGCTGCATGGCCCATGTTGTTGCGCGCGGGATCGCGCGCTGCGTGGGGCAGGTCATGGGCCGCGCCTTTCGCGCTGCGCAGGGGAAGGCGGCGCGCCACCGGCAGCGCCACTCACTTCGCCGACCCGAAGACCGAAGGGTCGGCGACATGGCGGCGGCGCGCCATCAGGGCCGCGCGCGCCGCTGCCCAGGTGGAAGCGCGCAGCGGAAGCCCGCAGATGCCGCAGCATTGGCAATGCCGTTTGTAGGGGAAACGGGGGAGGGGCGTTGGTGGCGGGGGCAACGTTCGGGGTGCATGTTAACTTCCGAGGGCAGCCGTCGGTGCAAGTTCTTCGCGCGTGCGGTTTTGCGTCCGTGCATGCGCGCCGTGCTTGCGTTGCTTGCGGCCTGCAACCGCGCGCGTGTGCATCTGCAATTCGCGAAAAGCGTCGTTGCAAGCGTTGCCATGCGCCAGCGCTGTCTGGCGTCGGCGCCAACGAACCTTACGTCTGTTGGCCGCGCGCGGGGCGCCCTGCCGCTTCGCCGCTACCATTCCAGAACGGGCTGGGCGGGTGGATGATGGTAAGGGAGGGGGGGCGCCGCTGCGTTGAAGCGCTGCGCCGACGTTCCCTTGCGGGCGTCATTGTCCCGAGTTCCTTCCGCGCACGTCACAGACCAATATGTGTCGAGTTTCCTGGTATGTCGCGAGGAAGTTTCGAGCCATCTTTCAGGCGTGCGGTGGCGGTGCGTCGGACGAGGGGGCGAATGGGTGGGCGGGGTAGTGGGTAGTGGGGTGGAACAGGAAACATGTTGAGCTGTGCGTGTTTCTAAAGGTTGGTGTTGTGCGCGAGCGTTGTTGTGCGCGCGCTGCTCCGTCGCGCGCGCGTGTCCCGCGCGCGTTGTGCGCCGCGCGCAGTCGTGCAAGGTTTTTTTTTTTTTTTTTTTTTTTTTTTTTTTTTTTTTTTTTTTTTTTTTTTTTTTTTTTTTTTTTTTTTTTTTTTTTTTTTTTTTTTTTCTTTCTCTCAATGGCCAGCGCGCGTGCATTCAACGTAATGCTGCCAAATGCGCGTCGCCAGTGCGCGGGCTTCCATAGCGCGTTTGCATGTGTGCTCACGCGGGCGTCTCATCGCAGTATAGTGGCAGCGCAGCGCGCACGCGTCGGCATTTTCCCACTCGCACTTCCCTTTCCCCTTCCTCTCTCCACCCGCCCGCGCCCGCCCCCTCCCCTCCTCCTTTTTTCGCGCCTTCTCCAGCCCCTTGCTGCCTTCGTTATCTTTTCACGCTGGCCCGCGCCCCCCCCCCCTTTGCGGGCGGAGGGAGGGCGATGACAAGGTGGAGGTGGAGGAGACGAAGAAGGAGGATGATGAGCACCCCTGGTTTTTCGTTGTTTAAACGACAGTGGGGTAAAGTTTATTGGTCGGTCCTCCTTTCCCTCTTGCCAGGCCGTGGGCGTGCCGCTGGACATTTTCGAGTTGGTTGCCGCCCTGGACCCGAAGGGGGTCATCACTATGTCCTTTTGGAGGGTCCTGGAGCACAAGAGGCCCTTGGTTGCGATGAGGCCCAAGTTTGTGCTAGTGGAGGAATGCAGAGCAGAGCGCCCGCAACTGTGGCCCCCAGTTTGGCGTCGCCGCGAGCGCCGCGGCGGCAGAGACACACCGGACGGGCCAGCGCCTGGTCGGCGCGGCAGAGGAGGCAGCCGCGGAGGAGGGGCAGGAGAAGGGCGCGGCCGAGGCCGCGGAGGTCGCGGCCGCAGCAGTGGCAGTTCTGGTCTATCGCCATCGGCTGCGGTGCCCGCAGCTGCTGGGCAGGAGGCGGCTGCCGCGCTGCGCGACGGCCACGCCGACGCGATCGATGACAACGGCGGCAGCGACAGCGGCTGCGACATCGAGTCGGGCAGCGGCTTCGACATCGGCTCCGAGATTTCCTCGGACCTCAGCGGCGACGAGGCGCTGAAGCCAGACGGCGACCTCGACGAGGACGGCTTCGCAGCGCTGCTTCCAGCAGCCCGATTCGACGAGATGGTGGACTGACTCGACGGGGTGCCAAAATTTGCGTCGGGCTCCAGGGCCGCGGGGACAGAGGTCTTGCATCTTTCACCATTTGTCCTGTCGCTCAGGTGCTCCATCGGCACTTTGCATCCTGCGATTGCTTTCAACATTGCATTGGCATTCACTTTGATTTCGTTGCTTGCAGTTTTGTTGGCCCTACCCTCACCGAAGTATGTTCCGAGGCCCTGTCCGAAAGACTCCGATAAGGTTCTGGGCCTTGCGTTCCTTCAGATATGCAAAGGTACCAACGCATTTGCCTTTATTCTCAATGCTTGACGCTTCGCGTGTTCCGAGACGCTCTGCTCGCGCAGCAGCTTCATCCAGCAGAGGAGGTGCGTGGCATAGATGTTTTTTTTGTGGCGTGCAATGGGACATGATGAAACCCTTGCGCGTTAAAGTTTGTGCAGCGGTTTGTGCAGCGGTGGGTTTGTGCGAGGTTGGGTCTATTGAGCAGCGCGCCCGTGGGGGCACTCTGGGTGTTTCGGGGAAGCCGATGCCCCATCCCCCTCGATATCTCACGGGCTTCTTCGGGTTGTCTGGGGGGTGGGGTGCTTTTAGATATTTCATGTTTCACGTTGGGCCCCAGTTGAGGCTGCGATCGGTCAAAACATTGGAACAGTTGTGGGCCAGCCTTGCTGCAAACCTTGCTTAAATCATGTTAGGTGTTAGGTATATCGTCGCACGTCTCTGCGCCGTTTGTGGTATCATCCTTGGCGCAGCCCCAGGGTTGCAGCACTCGTTATCTCTGTCGGGTTCTTCTTGGTCGGCTTGGGGTCATCTGGGGACCTCGAGGGGCCATCGGAACCGAAACAAGGGGAAGCCTACCCAGTTGTTTGAATTTGGTCATGTCCGTCGCATTGGGGGGGGGCGGGGGTGGGGCTTCTGCGGCTGGGCATCGTTGTCAGTTGACCTATCGTTAGGGCCTCATGCAACATCTTGGGGCATGTGTCTTACCACAATGTATCTTGAACAACCTACGGAGGGCGCGTTTGGGATATCTGGAGCCGTCTTGGCGATGTCTTGGGCCGCGTGAAGTTCCAGTCTGTCGTGGCCCACCCCGCCTAGGGTTTGCGCGAGGGTCGCAGGGGATGCGCGCTCCGCTCAGAGGGGGCGGGCGAAGCGAAAGAACGTGAACGAGAAGCCAGGGGTCTGAATGATGCGCCGTTTGCGCCCAGATCGGCGGCGTGACATCACGCGCCTCCTAATTCGGTGTCGCGCTTTTGGCTGGCACCCCCTTCCCCCTTGAAATCAGACCTGTCTAAGAGGAGGGCGGCGGGCAGACGACCGCGAGGAGAAGAAGGAGGTAGAGGGGGGGATGGAGGACGGGGGGCGTGGGTGAGGAGAGGGGGTGAGGCAGGAGGAACGAGTATAGAGTTTGTTTGGTGGAGCCGTAGTCGAGCCGTGCCTCGCCCGAAATTTGGAACCAGAGGACGAGCTTGCTGCAGAAATGGAAGAGGCCGACGGCATTGGGCCCGACCTCGGCATCGGCGGCGGGAGCGCCCACGAGGGGCGTGATTTTGATGATGTTCGGGGCGTTGGCGATCATGGTGCTCTGGACGAGGAGCTTTTCGAAGCTCACGGCAACCATGGGTCTGCAGATGGTGGTTGTGAGAATATTGTCGTTGACGTCGTTCCAGGCCTTGGCTTCTCTGATGCTGGAGGCGCCCCAGCTGTGCACTCAGGCTCGCCAACTATTGCTGCGCCCGCAGGCTCGTCGTCGAGTGGTGCGCCTTCTGGCTCGTCGTCGGGCGTTGTTGCGCCTGCGGGATCGGGTTCGAGCTCTGGTGCAGCAGCAGGGTCGGGGCCACCGCCTCCACCGCCGCCGCCGATGCCACCGCCTGCGGGCGGCGATGAGAATATCGCTTGGCACTTGCCTGGTGGTGGGACGATTTCGTGGTATCGGTATCAAGGATTCGTTGCGACGTGCCCGAGGCGCCACGCCCACGGGCGTTGCAGGATCACACGGACGCATAAGGCTGCTGCGATGGGGTCTTCTGATTACTTAAGGACATCTGGGGCTCAAGGCAGACCGCTTGGAATGATGTATTGCTGGCTTGAGAACCATGCTCAATTCGATGACAAACTCAGCCACCATTTGTACAAGCCGTTATGTGGTGATCGCCGTGCAGCCCGCCGACTCCTGATCGAGATGGCGCAGGGTGGTAACTTGACAGTCGGACGGCTACTCGGGAAAGAACGGCCCCTCGCTGACGGAGAGCCTGATGAGAATGATTATTGTTTGTAATCACGTTCTGGTCTATGTTGGGCGGTATGTCTTGGATTACGCTGGTCAGGACTTCCAGGGTTTAAAGCAAGAGAGTG